AGTCTGAGGGTTAAGGTGTATCTGATTCAGGCTATGGTCTTTTAAATTACTTGCTATGCATCTGAGAGCTGAACAATGAATGAGGATGATAGAAGAATTGATGCCTTGAACTGTGGTGTAGAATATCCCATGGACTGCCAAAAGAGCAAACAAGTATGTCTTGGACAAGGTGCAGTCAAGAATGTTCCCTGGAAGCAAATATAGGGAGGGGGGAAAAAAGGCTTCATCTCACATACTTTGGGCATGTTGCTAGAAAAGGGACATCATACTAGGAAAGGTGGAGGGATGGTGAAAGAGGAAGACCCTCAGCCAGATAAACTTACACAGTAACGGTGGCTTAGAAATTATGAGCTTTAGAAATTGTATGGCACGGGTTATGATCAGCTATTTACAGGCTCACTATTCGTTATACTTCACTTGATGGCATCTAACAACATCAAGAGATTGCCTATCATTCCAGTGATGAGACTTTTTGTTTCCTTGACATTGATATTCAATCCAGATTGAAGGCTATATTCGATCTTCTGCAGCAAGTGTTTCAAGTCCTTTGTTTGCTTTTGGAATATATATACTCAGGGAGAAATAAGACTTCAGTAATGTAAATACCCCTGAAGGGTCTTCCTAAACCCTAACTAGGGACGCGCTCTAGCCTGGATGATCCCTCAGAAAGTCTGTCTGTTCTCGGAAATTTCATTCTAGCCGAAGAGCCTAAAAGAGCCAATTCAGGCCTGGGCTACCCGCTCTCATCCTCAAAGCTGGGTAATCCTGGATGATGAGAGATGAGCTGTTAATAATACTTTCCTCCATGCAAGGGAGAAAATGGTCTTTTCCAGGTCTCACTCGTCTAGTGTAACAACGGTAACTTCAGTTTTGCAATAATCCAATTGCCATCATAATGCTAAAATTGATTGGCATCTATTATTACACAACAGCTATTGTACTAGGTGGTATGCCATTTCATAATTTGCTCTGAATGACACTGTAAAAAAGCATGTATTCCCATTTTTGCAGTTGAAGCTCATTTTTTCAGTGGAAGCTCAAGTTATAGTACATGTCCAAGTTCTTCATCTAGCAAGGGGAAATCTAGGATTCCAACTATTCTGCCATAATACATCTGTGCCTACCCTTTTTAGGCAGCATCTATTAGCTGAAATATATCAATTGGTATACCATCTATTCCTGGGGCCTTATTTTTTGCTATTTCCTTCAAAGCAGCTTGAACTTCTTCCTTCATCACCATAGGGTCTTGCTCAAATTCTTCT